AAAAAATGAAACAGCATAAGGCAAATTCTTAGGACACTAAGAATGCTCAGTACACTGTAGCAATGACCTAGACTATGAACGATCACCTAGAATCACCTTAGTGATGCAAAATTGCTCTTTCTGAAGGGATTTGTATACAACTGAAGAATGTGAGCAAGTGTATTATCAGGTTTCACCAAAGGAAAGAATTTTCACAGTTCGAGACACTGACTCCCTAACTGGGTCTCCTAGTGACATTTTGGGCACTTATTTCAGAGGTTAGCAGAATTGTTTTCTGTCATACTTAAAGCAATTTTCTTTTTTAAAGAACGATTCCTTAACACCTCACAACATGAGAGATAGCCATAAACTTTTCAGATTTTGTGCAATTAAATACATTACTAATAAGCTCTGTAACTGAAGTGTGGACAACAAATTGTATTATCACAAGGAAGATAGAGTTAATTTCAACAAAGAGATCTCCTTTAATATATACTAACTATACCACTTCTGGGACTATATCCCAAAGCAAATGAAATCTTATATTTATAGTAGTACAATGTGCAATAGTGAAGACAACCCAAATTCCCATCAAAAGATGAATGGATAAAGAAGTTGTGGCATATCTGCTCCATGGAATACTACTCAGCCATTAAGAAGAATGAGAGTCTACCATTTGCAACCAAATGGCCCCAACTAGAGACCCTTATGCTCAATGAAATAAACCAATACCCAAAAGACAAATATAATATGTCCTTTCTGTTAAAAGGCAACCACCATGCAAAATAGAAGATGAATAGATACATGGGTAAACATCCCTGTACGTATATAGTCATCCAGAGGAACTGTATAATATAGAGTATCATATAGAGATGTGAAGATACAGTGCAGTAGGCAACTCTACCTCCAAATCAAAGATGGACTCCCTCCCAATGAAACTGTTAAATATGTTTTGGCGATAGGATGCTGGACTGTCTGCCATTTTCCACATTTGCAGTGTCAGGATACACTCAAATAGCAGAATGATGGACTTATGACTGTATTTGAAGGACTATATGATTGTAACAATATATAGGGGAAACCAGTGGGGGAAGGGAATTTTGAAAGGAGGGAACAGAAATCATAAAGCCTATGGAACTGTATCATAAAATAAATAGTGTAAAAAAAAAAAAGAAAAAAAAAGAATAATTGTAGGGGTTGGCACCATTGCAGAGTAGGATAAACTTCTGCCTGTGCTGCCAGCACTCCTATGTCAGAGTGCCAATTATTATCTCAGATGATCAACATCCGATTCAGCTCCCTGATGATGAGTCTGGAAAAGTGACAGGTAACAGACCGAGTACCCATGTGGAAGACCTAGACAGAATTCTGACCTGGTCCAACCCTGGCCATTGCATGTATATGTGGGGTTGAGCCAGTGGATTGAAGTCCTCTTCCTTTGTCTCCCTCACCCCTTCTGACTCCGTCTCTCCGTGTCTTACACTTGTCTCATCCCCTTACATTAAAATAAATGAATGAACTTCTAAAGATATTAAAGAATCAATTGAAGAGTGAGTCATGCACTACAGTGATGGAATTATCTATGAATGAAAGAAAAGGCACTGTGGAAATATTTAAAATAAGATTGATCTCTCACAAGGACCAGAGAATATTTTTCTTGAAAAGTGACTTTGGTCAGAGAGTTGAAACATTAGGTAGCTTGGTTAGCTAAGTCATCTTGGGTAGGGGACGGTTGGAGCAAGGCATACATGAAACTTTCTGAGATTGAGAGAAACATATTCAAGGAATTAAAATCCAATCCAATCAGTAAGGAGATGGAGAGAGACATAGAAGCCAATCATAAAAGAGGGTGACGAAGAAGCAGAGATGATGGAAAGCCTTCATTTATGGGAAATCTTATGCCATTCTTTATTTAATCTCAAGACTAATGGCCATAGTAAAGATTTAAGAAGGAGATGAGTTGTAATATATGCATGGAAAAAAAGCACCATCAGTGTGAAAACTGAGCTATGCAGTTAGGATGTTCTTGCAGTTGCTATGTGAAAGGCGTTTTCTCCTTGGATTACGGTGGTGTCAGTGGACATGAATAGAGTAGACACCCTTAAGAGACAATTAGGATAAAGCAGGTGAGATGAGCTGTCAGAGAAAGATTTTCTGGAAACCAGGGAAAGTTCAGTGTCAGTGATCTGAACTTTTTTCTTTGAATAAAACCCAAAGCTTAGAAGGGTAGTTAGAAGTGAAAATTTCCCTTTGTTTTCCATCATCTGCTGATTCTTCTGTTCTTGATGTACATCTAGAAATTTGATGGGATTTAGCTTTCAGCTGAAGTCATATGATACTATGATCTGTGTTTGAAATACTTTTATCCAATTTGCCTAACCTGTGTCCTTTACTTAGCTGGGTCCTGGGGCACAAGGAAGATTGGGTCTTGGTCTCTGCCTCCAGTGTTCCTGTTATCCAACTGGGGAGACAGAAATGTCCACAGAATCATGCTATGCTTCCATTGGCCCTTGGAGTAGACCGTGGACCCTCTTGTGGGAGACGTTAGGGTACAGGGAAGCACTGTGGCGGGTAACAGAGCAGGCTCTGTAGCTTGCTGGGAAATTGAACATGCTTGTTTGCTAAATTTCTTTTCTAAATTTTCTCCTTTAGGAAATGGGGCTAATAATCATAAGGCTGATCTGACAATTATATAGCACGATATGTGAAAATTATCAAGGCATTAGGCTCAGAGCAGCTATTTAATAAAAGCAATAAATTTAACTATTTATAATGCTATGGGATAGGGCCAATTTATCTTCTGGGTAGAGTCAGGGAAGTTTCCACAACACACTTGATATATTATTTAAAATGTGTACATAGCTGACCTTTAATAAATGCATATTTAAGAAACAAATGTTTTATAGTGACAGGATGATTCATTGGTGATTTATTAAATGTTAGAATTTGCTGTGAGCATTGTAAAGATATTTCCTGGTTTAAATCTCAGTCAAACTAAAAAAGAAATGTTAATTATTATGCTCATTTCAGATTGGAGTCCAGAGGCCCCTAAATCATGTAGTTGGCAGATTGCTGAATTGGAATTTAAATCCAGTTATAGTCCAACCCAAACCTTTGTCTTCAAATTTTTGTATTTCCTTCTTTGCATAGAAGCACTACTGTACTTAGTGTTGTTTTTGCTTATTATGTAGATTTTCATCCAATTGGTAATAAAAATATATTGCTATAAGGAGCTAGTCAAAGGTTTACAGCACTTTATCTGAATATCTTACAAATAGTTATTGTAGATCACAAATGTGTAGGGTGATAAAAAAATGAACTAGTTGTTATCCCAGCTTCCACAAATTGCTGCACCCATTCTGCTACACTGATGTCTGAGTGTGACTGTGTGTTAACCTATATTTCTGTGACACAGAATGAATGGAACTCTGTTTGCATAACACCTGCCTTTTTATAAATGATGGCTGTGACATGGTTTTGTGCTTGGTATCATAGTGCTTAATATAGTTCGTGGTGTGCAATAAGGACTCAGCCAGTGTTGGATGTCCTTGTTATTGCCCAGCAAGGGTGACATCCTCAAATACGTAAGACTATCTTTTTTAAAATGTATTTGTTTGAGTGAGCATGAGAGAGAGGGCTCTTATCAGCTGGGTCACTCCCAAGTGGTTACAATACCTAAACCGGGAGTCAGGAACCCAACAAAAACAGCACATAAGTGCAGGAACTCAGTTACTTGAGCTGTAACCTCAAGCACCTCCCAAGAGTCTGCAATGGCAGAAGCCAGAGTTGAGAGCTAGGACTTGGTATGGAGTCAGATGTCCTGATATAAGACACGGGCATCTGACCTGCTCATCAACACGGTTCTCTTTTGAAGTAATTATTTCCATTCTACCATTCTCACAATGAACTTACTTAATTTCCTCCATCTTCAATACTGGAGATAAAAGATGCATTGCTTCTTTTTGTATTTATTTTATTATTATTAGTCATATATATTTTTAAAATTTTCATCTATTTGTTCTTCTATGGTTGATTTATTTTTTTTTCTATCTTATATGAGCTCTCTCCTGATATTCAGAATACATTGCAGATGTTTTAAGCAGATTGTAATTTCATTTTTATCTAGGCTTTTGTGGGTTTTTTTTAGTGAATACTTTAAAATTAGTATTTGTTGCTTCATGGTAGTCCTTTTTACAAGTAATGTTTTACACATACCTAGCTAAAATAAATATGGTATTGTTGACAAAAGGAGAGGATACTAATTCTTTAAAACTTGGGGATCCTGATACAAGGGGAAAAACATGGATTTGTGCTTTTCTATTTATATTATTTTCCAAAATGTGGTTTTGCAGGTGCAGGGATTCTCCTCTCCGCCTTCTCTTCCTCCATGGATTTGCACTTGTGTTGCTAGAAAGAACAGAAAAACGCTCCACTCTGGAGAGCCTTGCAGAGGTGTGGGGATCTGTGACAAAGCATTTTGCTTTTCCAAGCACGAAATCCAGAAGGATTCTCTTTTGTTTCCTTTTGTTCCAGCATGTTTTGTTTTTTAGGTAATCCACTACAAAGTCCCACACATCAAAAGGGGCTTGTCTTGGCATTGAAGTTGGAACTTCTGAGACTGGGGAGTTGTGTTGCATTTTTGAATTTCAGTAACAGTAACAGATCAAATGCTTCCATGTCTTCCATTGCCTTGTTTGTTATGACAAGGAAAATACTTTCATTTCTCCAGAAAACCTGTGTATAATGCCATGCTAACTGCCTAAGTCATGTGCTATAGTATTTATGACCATCAAAGAATAGTGACAAAGGAGCAAATGAAATTCTGGTTTATGGATTTAAGCCAGTTCACTTACTAAGCTCTGCAACAAAATCATTTTAGGTGCTATTATTATTATTGTGAAAGTCATCACATACTCTAGAAGTACTTCAGTTCTCTGCCTAAACAGAAATATGCTTTTATGAAAACGTTAATCCTACCTGTAATTGGGAATCTTTATTTATTTATTTATTTTATCTTCCAGCTTTGATTTCTACTGATCTGATAACATACATGGCTTCTGACAGCAATGCTCTTGTAAGTACCGATTGGGACACCTGGAGTTTTAGATGTCATCAGTTGAACATAATAGAAGAATAATGGGCAAGTTTATTTTAATCTTTGCTAATGCTTATCCTCCATTTCATCAGCTGTCGTTCAGTCAAGTGAACCTGGTTTGGGTTTCAAGGGCGTTGTATCTGCAGTCATTTAGGAAATCTGTTTTTTTTTAATTTTAATGGTAAAACAGCCCCATTTTAATGTATTGTGCATAACTTTGTCATTAGGACCAAAGAAGATGCTGACTATGTGCTAGCGTCATCTCTGTAGGAAAAATTCTGTTAGTAATCATGTTGAAATTTTGGGCTGCATTGAAAGGAATTTTATGGCCTCAAATAAATGGAGCATCTTTATTAGACAAAGAAACTTCTCAGCACTTGCTTTTCCTGGGAACAAAACTTCATATCTCTTCCTTCTATTTCATAAAGCAGTGAAAAAAGCATTTCATGCTGAAGTAACCAACCTTTTTCCTAGAACTTTTTAGCATATAAAAGTGATTAGGTTGCTTTTTTTTCCCCCACAATACCAGTGTCATTCAGTTTTGGGTCAGGTCAAGTGCAGTCTGAGAGTCAACAAGTGCAACTGAGTCACAGGCAACATTATTGTGACCTTTCGAATGGAAGGGGATGTACAGCCATGTGGGGCTCTATGGTGTGCATCTTTTGGCAAATCTAAGACATCGTGATGGATGCATAAGACAAAATTTTTGGACCAGAGCTAAAAGCAGAATCAGAAGTAATGGGAGCCAAGAATACAGTACTCTTTCTGCCAAACTGAAGGTGGGCAATGATTTTCTGAAACAAATTAGAAAATGCATATCAAGGAAGGTGTGGAGGAACTAATGGGGAACTTACTTGACAGCCAGACAGTTCATCAATTCTCTGCCTGCTTGCTGCCAGTTTATATGCCAGGAACAGGGAAGGAAATGAAAGCATTTTGAATCTGATGTTAATACTAATGGAAATGAGTCATACAATGGGAAAAAGACAAGATGGAAGCCTGGGAGATGGTGCTTCAGAACGCTCAAGAGGAAAGTGAAAAGTATAGTCCGTTAACTACTGTGGAGGCATTCACGGTCTAAAACTTGGAGAAAAGGATGGTGTGATCCTTTGCACATCCATGGCTGGGGAGTTTTAGATGACAGAGTCATAGCAGTTGCAATAATGATAAATAAAAGGAACAAGTAAGAGACTAAAGGTGCCACAGTAGGGATTTTTATTAAGAGTAGATGTAGGAACATACGTGGAGGATGTTAATGGGAACCATGGCCAGGTGTAAAAGCAGATGGAAATCACAGATCTATAAAAATAAAATGACTAAAGTTCACAGTAATCAAAGTTCATGAAACTTTATGAAAAGAAACACACATGTGCCTGTGATTGTGTGTGCGTGTGTGTGTGTGTGTGTGTGTGTGTATGTGTGTGGAGACAGATCAGCACAGAGGAACAAAGAATGCAATGAGAGGGTTAGGCTTGTTGAATCCTTGGGAAGGAAATACAATGCTGAATTCTTTCAGTGATTCACATTTTCCACAGAAAGGAGCTCACCTAACTGGAGTAAGGGCAGTTTACATGATTAAGAGAGAATGAAATCCACAGTTCACTTCAATACTTTCAATGAACAGCTTCATTCACTCATTGAAACAGTATTTGTCCATTACTTACGCTGTGTCTGTTGTGTATCCAGTGATAAACAGGCTGCACTACACAGGAGACACTGTATGGGATAGGAACTGGAGATCAAACTGATTTTAAAATCTCCACTTGCGAAAATCCCAGGCATGGGAAGAAGGAACACAGATGTGATCATGTATCGACTGAAATAGCATCTGTGCTATGTGCCAATCCAGAGCTGTTACCCCTGTCCCAGTTAGCTCAGTTCCCTGTAATCTCCTCATCTCTGGAGCTGCAGGAAGCCCTGTTCTCACAGTGGCGACTCTGGCTGGTTCTGGATGCTTGAGGTTTCAGCAGCTCCTATACCCAGCCAGCTGCTTGCCTTGTGTACTCTCAGTAGAGTTTGGGCAGTATGGCTTCACATCTCTTAAGCATTTCTTTCAGTTGCTTTTCAGTGGTTACCTTACTTTTATCTTTCCATTCAGAAAATCATTTTAATTTTCTGCTGTCACTTGTTCTCTAATGAAATGTAGCACAGGAGATCTAATCTTATGCCTTGTAGTAAGTTTCCATGGGTTTGGCACACCTGACCCAGGCAAATCCCGAATTACACCTTGTTTCCACTAAACTAGCATTGATTTGGCTGTCTCTGCTGCACGCTGTGCTTTGGCCTGGAATAAGAGAAGTTCACTATGTCATGGGAAAGAAGATATCTTCAAAGCATTTTCCTTGGATTTAGCCCAATAGTTGTGATTGTAGTTGATATAGGAATGGTGCTAATGAAACAGCTCAACATTTTAAAAAATAAGCACATGCAATTTATTTTGTTTATATTAGAACAGTGTTGTTTTCTGTTGAGTCGTTTATTGTTTGGTAGTATTTTATCTCTTAAAAATGAAAGAGTAGAGTTTTCAAAGCTAAAATTACATATGTAGAATCCAAATATAAGCCCAGGGAGCTGGGTTTTAGCTCTGATACATTTCCCCATCTCACAGCCACAATGCTTGCTTCTTCCCACGTCTCCTGGGGATTTTTCCCCTGCATCTGCCCCATTCTAGTCTACATGTCATACAACACCAGGGTAGACTTTCTTAAACAGAAGTCTGTTTCATCCAGCATCTTCCATCAGGCCATGGCTTCCCATTGGTCTTCAGAACAAATGCACAATCACTGGACTGTGGAAGATGTGAATTTGCTACTCTTTTAGAGGTCGTCTGCTTCCTTCTGAGGCTGATGCTCACTGTATCAGATGCTCTAAGACTCAGAGCTTTGCCTTCTCAAGGTTTGATTTCATCCATCCGTGGACTGCCCCCTGTGACTGCAGAGTTCTGTCTAACTTTAATAGCTCCTTTGAGTTTCTGCTAGGCGCTTGTGCAGATCCTGTCATTCCTCTTTGATTTGTTCACTTTCTAGGTTTGATTGGCAGCTGTGTGAGAGTGTATTTACCATCAAATCTCTTTTATGTGGCGCTGAGTAATTGTGCAACAAACAAATTCCATAGTTCATAGATTGTGACCTGAAAGAAAGAATTAATGTAACCCCTTTCAAGATTTGGTCATAGCTTGTTGGGAAATCTTCAACACAGGTATTAGATTTGGAACAACACTTAATCCCCAAGGATCCATTTTCTTACGACAAAGTATGATGTTCTAAATCACTTTGCTTAGTTTGTCTTTATGGTTAGTTTTACATTAAAATGAATAAGTGAATAGATAAACAATAATGGCAAATATAGATCTTTCAGGCCCAACGATAAATTTTTTGGATGTTAGAGGCATTTTAGTAATTATGTGTTTTGATAGAGAAAGGAAAATGACCTTCATGAGGATGATAAGACTCAAAAGAATTACATTATAAATAATTGTTTTACCCAAAGCTCCTAAGTTCCTTGGCTTTTAGGAATGGTTATAGAAGCAAAAAAAAATGTCAGAATTCTTCGCGATCAAAGCATTATCACAAGGCTTGAGGAGGAATTCCTTGAACTATAATTCCTTCATTAAATCCAGCCAGAAGAGAAAATGTCAAGTGAGCAGTTCGTTCATGCACTTTGGTCTTGGCACCTGTGCTAGCTTCCTTGCTGGAGAGGAGAGGGTGAGTGAGTGGGAATGACCAGTGACTTCAGGCCCTGGTTCATTGCTGATGTGTGGGCACCGACCAGTGAGATGATGTAACAGCAAATGGGGACTTCCTGTGCTGGCCTCATAAGGAAGGTCAGCATTCATTACTCACAGAAGAGCTGTGGCCTGGTCTTTCTGTGACTGGGGGCAGTGGACAGCCTAGAACCCACATCTACCCACTGCAAACCCATTCTACCCCAACCTCCATCTCTATGTTCTCAGCGTGAGCCTTAGTCATGTGACGTTTAAGGACAAAGCCAGGAATTCATTTGTCACATTTCCGATCAACTGAAAGAAGCTGGTATGTTGGCAGTTTGTTTTTCGGCTTTGTGAACATCACACTATGCTGAAATAACTGTGCTAAAACCTCTGTGTGCAAGTGGGACACCCAGGCGAGGGTCAGCACACATGATTAACACATCTGCCGTCATGAGAACGCCCATGGGGAAGGAATGAGAGCCCTCGGGGGGAGCAGGCTCTGCAGAGGGCTGGGAGGACTCATTCGCCACCACAACAGATTCCTGTCCTTCTGGCATCCTGTCCCATGCCTTCTCTATTTCTTGGATGTAGATCTCAATATTGAGAGGGTGATGCTGAAAGATGATGCTGCAGAAAGGTACTGTGGGCTTTAAGAAAACTGTTTTTTAGCTAAGACTGGAGATTTGTTTAGCAAAAGTTCATTGTACCTTCCAGGAAATATGAAGAGTCAGTTCTCCATGGAATTCATATTTAGGGTCAGTCCTTCCCAGGGGGTTTTCTCTACACCATTCAGAATCACAAAGATATTTGTACAATTTTAGGTTGCTTGCCTTTGCTGATACTATTTACTAGAGAGAGACAGTTTGTAGTGATGAATAATCAGTCAGCAGTTTTCTAGATGTTTCTCTAAATCTACATGTTGGAACACGTACCTAGGAAGGCATCATAGAGAATAGAAGATATGGTCTTTCAATTAATTTTTTTGAGTGCTCATTGTATGTCCATTATGGGGCTTGGCACTAAGGTTTAAGTGTGCAGCAGATTCACGAACAGCAGTTCTGTTTTCAGGCTTTGGTCAGTCACGTACATTTTCAAAGGTGAAGTACAATTGCCTAGCAATGTGCTGGGTTTGGGTTGTAGATGGGGATATCCGGAAATGATCACTTGTGTAGGAGAGCCAATGAAAATCTAAGGATGCAATCACAGGGCTGACCAGGAAGGAGAGATTTGAAGAACACTGGGAAGCAACCTGGTGACTGAATAAATGTGT